AACATTCAGCCTATTGAGCTTAACAGTTCTTTGTGTAAACTGGATACAAGATTTTTATTAGATTTGCAAATACTTTCTCTAAATCTGTGGCTTTTTTTCATTCTCTTAATAGTATATTTGAAAAAGCAGAAGTTTTAAATTTAGATGAAGTTTAATTAATTATAGTTTTGGTGTGTTATCTTAGCAATCTCTGCCTAACCCAAGGTAACAAAGATTTCTTCATATGCTTACTTCTATAAGTTTCTTGGTTTGAGTTTTACATTTAGTTGTATAGTCTGTTTTGAGTAGATTTTTATGTATGTTATGAGCTACGAATCGAAGTTCATTTTTGGCATATGTATATGGTCTTTTTTCTGTATCATTCAGTGTAAAAAATATTCTTTCTCAACTGAATTTTCTCTTCACATTTGTTGAATAGCCTTTGTTCATACATGTGTGAATCTATCTTTGGGTTCTCTATCCTTTTCTGTTATTCTCTTTCCCTCTTTTTATGCCAATGCCACACTGTCTTAATTACTATAGCTTTATAAACATTCTTGAAATCAGGTAATTTTAACTCTACAACTTCCTTCTTTTTCCAAGGTTGTTTGGTCTATTCTCTACCCTCTGCATTTTCACATGAATTTTAATGCCAGCTTCTGAACTTCTGTGAAACAAAAACAAAAGCTCTCTGGCATTTTTATTGAATTGATTCTGTAAATCAATTTGAGAGATTTAACATCTTAACAATATTGCGTCGTTGCACTCATAGACATGTTGTGTTTCTCTATTTAGTTAGGGCTTCTTGAATTTCTCTCAGCTACATTTTGCAATTTTCAGCACATGGATCTAGGGCAGCTTTTGTCAGATTTATCCCTGGTATTAAATATTTTGATGCTATTTTAAATGATATTTTAAATTACAATATCAGATTTTTCATTGCTACTATATATAATTAATTTTTTAAAGTGATCTTGTGTCCTGTAACCCTGCAAATAACACTTATCAGTCCTGTCAGTTTTTTAAAGAGATTCCATCTATGAGTTTTGCTTCATATATTTTGAAGTTATTATTAGATGCATAAAAACATTTCCTATTTCTAAGTCCTCCTAAATAATTGATCCTTTATCATTAAGAGATAATATTCTAGGCCGGGCGCAGTGGCTCACGCCTGTAATCCCAGTACTTTGGGAGGCCAAGGCGGGTGGATCACGAGGTCAAGAGATTGAGACCATCCTGGTCAACATAGTGAAACCCCGTCTCTACTAAAAATACAAAAAATCAGCTGGGCATGGTGGCGCATGCCTGTAATCCCAGCTACTCAGGAGGCTGAGGCAGGAGAATTGCCTGAACCCAGGAGGCGGAGGTTGCAGTGAGCCGAGATCGCGCCATTGCACTCCAGCCGGGGCCACAAGAGCGAAACTCAGTCTCAAAAAAAAAAAAAATATATATATATATATATATATATATATATATTCTTTATCCATGAATATATTTATACATAGATTTCAGAGCAAGAGTTTTTCTGATACTAATAAATCCAGTCCAGTTTTTCTTAATTAGTGTTCATATGGCATATGTTTTCCATGCTTTCATTTACTTATATTTTATCTGTTCATTTCTTTATTTTGAAAGTGTAGGTTTTTTTGTGGACAGCACAGAGCTAGTAGGGTCTTTGTTTGTTATCCAATCTGATAACTGCTGATTTAGTTGAAGTATTTAGACAATCCACATTAAATATTATTATTGATATGGTCAGATTTAAACCTATCATTATGATATTTGTTTTATATTTATTACATCTGTTTTTTTTCTTTTTCTGCCCTTTCTGGATTAATTTAATTTTAAATGATTCAATTACATCTTCAATTGGCTTATTAGATCTAGCTGTTATTTTCTATTTTAGTGGTGGCTGTAGGATTTATACTATACATCTTTAACTTACCACAGTATATTTTCAAGGTATATTATACTACTTTGCTATGGCATAAGAATGTTACAGTGGTACACTACTCTATCTCTCTTCCTTGTTTTCATGTTATTATTGCAGTATGTTTTACATGTTCAAATGCTATAAACTCCACACTACTTTGCTATTATTTTTGTTTTAAGAGCCAATTATTTTGAACAGATTTTTTACAATAGGAAAAAAGTTTCATACACCTATTCATGCAGTTATAACTTTCAGTGCTTGCTGTTTCTTTGTGTAAATCCATATTTCCATCTGATATACTTCTCCCTCTCACTAAAGGACTTTCTTTGATGTTTCCTATATTGCAGACCTGCTAATAATGAATTTTTTCAGCTTTTTAAAATATCCTAAGAAGTTTTTATTTCATTTAAGTTTTCAAATATATTTTTAGTATAGAATTTTGGGTTAATGCTTTTTCTTATGTAACACATAAAAATCTTGCTTCACTGTCTTCTCATTTGCATTGTTGATGAAAATAAAATTCTGTCATTCCTATCTTTGTTTCTCTTATGTGTCTTTTTTGTTCTTGTTGATCTTAAGATTTTTTTGTTCTTAGTAATTTTAGCAATCTGATAACAATGTGCTTTTATGCATTTTTTCTTCATAATTTTTGTGCTTGGGATTTATTGAATTTCTTGAATATGTAGGTTTATAGTTTTTATCAATTTGGAAAAATCTTGACTATTATTTCTTTAAATATTTTTCCATTTCCTCTCTTTTCAGGGATTTGAATGGCATACATCGACCACTTAATATTTTTCTACAACTTATCAATGTCCTGTTCTTTGTTATTTGATTCTTTTTCCTCTGTGTATTTTATTTTGAATTGTTTTTATTGCTCTAACTTCAAGTTCACTACATTTCCTTCTGCAGTGCTAATTTCTCATCAGTCTTACCCAGTGTACTTTTCAACTCACACATTTTAGTTTTCATCTCTAGAAATTTCATTTGGGCCTTTTTAATATCTTACATGTATTCACTTAACTTTTGGAACATATTACATAGAATCATAATAATTGTTTAATGTCCTCTTCTGCTCTTCTATTATCTGTGTCAATTCTTGGTCAGTTTTGATTGCTTATTCATTATGGATCATGATTTTCTGCTTCTTGCATGCATTGTAATTTTTATTGGATGCCAGACATTGTGTTACCTTGTTGAGTAATGAATTTTTGGTATTACTATAAATATTCTTAGCTTTTGTTCTGGGATGAAGTTAAGTTATTTGCAAATAGTTGGGGTTAGTCAGATCCTGCTTTTAAGATTTGTTCAGCAAGAGTGGAGCAGTGCTCAGTCTAAGGCTATTTCCTACAACTGAAGAAAGACTCTGTGTACTTTACTCAGTGCCGTACTAAATAAAGATTTTTTATTCCAGCAGGTAGAAACTGGCACCATTCTTAGCCCTGTATAATTGTTGGGTGCCATTTCCTTTAATCCTTTCAATGAGTTATTTTCTGGACATTGAGTAGTTTGCTCACTTAAATACGCTGATCAGGACTCTACTGAATAGCCAAAGAATACCTTCTTCAGATCTTCAGAGTTATTTCTCTGTACTGATCTCTCCTATCCAGTACTCTCTCTAGCAAACTCTAGTAACTATATTCTCTTGGACTGTTGGCTCTGTCTCCTCAACCCAGGGAGATCACTGGGTTCCCCTCCCTACACCACAACCTGGAAACACTCTCAAGGCTCTAATGTGGTATACCTTGTTCATTTCCTCTCTCCCAGGAATCACTGTGATGCATTTCCTGATGCCCAATATATTGAAAACCATTATTTCCTATTTGTACATTTTTTTTGGCCAGACTGTAAATCCACTTCCTATTACATCTCTATTGAAAATATAACCTCCTCATGGTTTTTCACAATTAGAAATATGGTTACTTTAGACATATAGGGGTAAGAAAAAAATTGCCAGATAAAAAAATAAAGCTCAAAAAGGTGACATTTTACAGAATTCAAGAACAATACAAAAACACAAGTGGTAGGGGATAACAGGAAAAGATAGCACATTATAAATAATTCTGAATCAACAAAGCACAAAGATTTTTCCTTTTTAAATATTTCATTCCACAGCACTAGCAGCATCATCTGGTCACAGTACATTTATATAAGGCTGACCTGCCTTAAAATGCATGAATCAACCTTTATTTAGAATTAATTTTTGATCCTTTAACATTTTATAAACTCTTAGCTTCAAAATGTCAAAAAGCTTCAAAAGTTTACTCAAAGTGATGTAATTTCTTCTCATGGTCAAATTCTGCATTGTGCTTTTGAATAGTGACTATGATTATTATACCTGTTTTAACTTATACTACCTTTCTTATATTTCATATACATTGTAAGTTGAAGTGACTTAAGAGTGATTATGCATCGATTCAATTTACTACAATGTTACATCTAAACAATAACACCTAAACCACTAAGCAAATAATTTTGGAACTGATCTCAAAAAAAATATTTAAGCCAACCAGAAAATCCGTCCAAATATTTGACCCCTTATTTCCTGCCTACACTCAGCTTCTACTCAGTGTTGCTGTACACTTTCCCCTGTAAAGCTTGAGCAAACAAACAAAATAAGCCTATGTAAGTGTCTGCAGGTATTCACTACTAAGAACTGTGCCCAAGAGATGGCAGAGGCAATAAGGTCTTAGTGAACAGGGCACTAAACCCAATAAAAAGAAGATGAAGATGAAGATGAAGAGTAATGTCAGAAAGATGCTGACATGCCTAATGCTTGTTACCTCATAAAAAGGACCAAAACAATAAATAAACAACTACATTCCAACTAGAGACTCTAAAGGAGAGCACTGGAATATAGGCGGGGGTGGAGGACAGTAGAGAAAAATGATATGGGGCACAGAAACTCAGATTGGCAGCATAGACAAGGGGAGAAAATGCCATGCGTCTTCCATTCCATCTCCCCAGTTGAGATCAGCTCCAAACTAAGAAAGACTTCTCTCTGCAGGGAAAAGGTAAACAGGAGGTCCCTTCCATTTACCACTTTGCTACCACTGTTTGCTACACCATTGATACTCCATTACCACTGTAGATACCTGAAGTCCCTATTACTGGATAATTCTGAGGTAATACAAGGCCCTAAGCCCACTTTAGGGAACTGCCTGGAGTTCACATGGCTGCATTATTCCAGGGGAGGAACCTACCCCAAATCCCCAGGACTCAGCAAGCCCACTATGATGCAAGGTGCTATGGCACACTGCCAAATTGAAACTGAAGTCACTGCTACAGTACATTTTGCTCAGAGGGACAGTAGCCACTGCACCCCTGAGGCTGCACTGCCATTCCACCATGTTCATCATCTAGCTACAGTGCCACAATATCAACTAATTGGAAGCTAGGCCGTATAACAGCTGCAAGCGCGGTACCTAAGCCCATGTAGTGTCCTATTCTCCAGTGTACAGGTGGTTATGCACAACAGAGATGCTGAGCCAAAGCCAGTGAACACCCTTGGTCTGAGATGCAGCCAACTGTCCTGGCCCCAACAAAGCCATACTACTGCCACCACAAATTTCTACATCCTAGGCCACTGAGAAACTCACAGGCATCACCAGTATTGATTACAGCTGAAGAAACCTCATAGAAGTGCACTATGGCTCCTACCTAGAACCAAAGCCAATGCACACTACTCAACTGACATTCTAGGACACATATACAGGAAAAAAATAAAATAAAAACAAAAAAAAAACCCTTCTCTTAAAAAGCTACTCCATAAAAATGCAAGAAACAACCGTTCCACCAGATGTGCAGATATCAAGATAGGAATACAAGAAACATAAAAAAGCAAGAAAACATAATACCCTCAAAAGAGCACAATTCTCCAATAACTGACCTCGAAAAGCAAAAGAAAATTTACAAAATGGCTGAAAGAGAGTTTAAAATAATAATTTAAGGAAACTCAATGAGACACAGGATAATATGGGAAATAAAATGAAGAAAAAAATTCACAATCTGAATGAGAAAGTCAACAGAGATGAGACATATTATTATAAGGAACCAAACAGAAATCTTGGAGCTGAAAAATACAATAAATAAAATGAACAATACAACTCAAGCTACAACAGAAGACTGGATCAAGAAAAAAAAAGGACTTTTTGAATTTAAAGACAGCTCTTTTGAGATTAACCAATCGGAGAAAATAAAAATTAAAAAGAACAAAGAATGCCTACAGAATTTATGAGACACCATTAAGTAAATATTCACTATGTAATTTTCAGAAGGAGGAGATAGAGAAAGGCACAAGAAGCTTATCTAACAAAATAGCAGCTTAAAACTTCCCAAATCTTCTGAAAGATATAGATATCAGACCTAGGAAGCTTAATAGTCCCAAACAAATTCAACACAAACAGGTCATCCCCAAGAGACATTATGATCAAACTTCAAAAGTCAAAGACAAAGACAGAATTCTAACATTAGCAAAAGAAAAGTGTCAAGTCAAATATAAGGGAATCCCCATTAGACTATGAACACATTTCTTAGCAGAACCTTACAGGCCAGGAGACAATAGGACAATATAATCAAAGTGCTGAAAGAAAAAAAAGTTACATCTTGTTATCACTGGTCTGTGTTCTCTGCTCCTAGACACTCAATTTCTATGGTTCTGTGACCAGCAGGTATTAGGAGAGCCATAGCTAAGATGCCAGGATCCACAGAAGCCTAGAAATGGACAAATAAATGTGGGTGATATGGCCAAATAAAAATTATAATGTGCCCTCAGCTTCCTAACCAACCTGATGTTTCCCCATGTGGTCCTGAGTGGCTTGGAGTGCCCCCTTATCTTGGATCTACTTACAAAAACATTATAATAACAAAGAATTCCTTACCTCAGCTGGTGCTCTCTTAAAAGTGCCATATCTTGGTTGGATACTAAACGACTCAGGTTATTACAGCAACTCATGACAGAATAATCCCAATCACAGGAAAGAGAAGATAACAGCTAATTCCACTGCCTGCAACATCCTGGCTAACCAGAGGTTTGTTGTTATTGTTGTTGTTGTTGTTGTTGTTTTTCTTCTGAAACAGAGACTCACTCTGTCACCAGGCTGGAGTGCAGTGTCGTGATCTCAGCTCACTGCAACCTCCACCCACCAGGTTCAACTGATTCTTCCACCTCAGCCTCCTCAGTAGCTGGGACTACAAGAGTGCACCACCACACCCAGCTAATTTTTGTAGTTTTAGTAGAGATGAGGTTTTGCCATGTTGGGCAGGCTAGTCTCAAACTTCTGACCTCAGGTGATCCATCCCCCTCAGCCTCCCAAAGTGCTGGGATTACAGGTGTTAGCCACCACAGCTGACCAACCAGAAGTTTTGAATGTGTCCACCCAACAAATTCACTGCTAGCATAACCAGCATTTAAGAAAGCCAGAACACTAAACATCTCTATAATCAAGGACTTTCAGAGTCTACTTCACCTCTCCACTAGAGCAGGTACTGGTATCCATGGCTGGGAAACCTGAAGACAGATCACATCACAGTACTCTTTATAGATATCACCCAGCACCAGCCCAGAGTTTCGTAGCCCCGCTGGGTGGCTAGACCTAGAAGAGCAGTAACAGTCACTGCAGTCTGGCTCTTAGGAAGCACCATCTCCAGGAGGAGGGGGAGAGTACCACATCAAGAAATTACCTGTGGGACAAGAGAATCTGAACAGCAGGCCTTGAGTTCCAGACTTCGCAATAAAATAGTTCACCCAAATGAGAAGGAACCAGAAATGTAATTGTTAAGATGACAAAACAGGGCTGTGTAACACCTACAAAAAAATCATACCAGCTCCCCAGAAATGGATCCAAACCAAGAAGAAATCTCTGAATTGCCAGATAAATAATTCAGAAGGTTGCTTATTAAGCTACTCAAGGAGACACCAGAGAAAGATGAAAAATAACTTAAAGAAAATTTAAAAACAATACAAGATATGGATCAAAATTCTCCAGAGAAGTAAGTCTTATAAGAAAAAGCAATCACAACTTCTGGAAATGAAAGACAAATTTAGAGAAGTACAAACTGCACTGGAAAGTTTCAACACCAAAATAGAACAAGTAGAAGAACAAACTTCAGAGCTTGAAGACAAGGCTTTAGAATTAATCTACTCAAAGACAAAGAGAAAAGATTTTAAAAAATAAACAGTGCTTCATAAACAAAGGAGAGATAAAGTCTTTTTCAGACAAAGGCTTAGAGAATTCACCACTACTAACCCAGCACTATAAGAAATGCTAAAAAAAAGTTGTAAGTCTTGGAACAAAACCTTAAAATACATAAAAATAGAACCTCCTATATTAGTCTGTTCCCATAGTGGGTAATTTATAAAGAAAACAGATTTAATTGACTCACAGTTCCACCTGGCTGGAGAGGCCTCAGGAAACTTACAATCATGGTGGAAGGCATCTCTTCACAGGACAGCAGGAAAATGAGTGTTGAGAGAAGGGAGAATACCCTTATAAAACCATCAGATCTCATGAGAACTCACTCACTGTCACAAGAACAGCATGGAGAGAACTGTGTCCATGATTCAGTTATCTCCACCTGGTCCCACCCTTGATACGTGGGGATCATTACAATTCAAGGTGAAATCTGGGTGAGGATACAGAGCCAAATCATATTATTCCACCCCAGGCCCCTCCCAAATCTTATGTCTATTAAGTACCAGCTTGGCCAGAGAGACCCCCACCCAGGCGGCACTGAAGGAAACTGAGAGGCAGATACCCAGATAGAACAGCAAAGTGGTTGTTTCCAGGGGACCAGCAGCCTTCTGAGCTGAGAACCTCAGGGGCTAACAGCATTCCAGGCTGAAGGGCCCCAAGTAGACTCTGACCCATGCCATTATTCTCTCTGAAGAGGTGATTATTATTAGCAAACAGATGTTCGGTATTTTCTCATAACACAAATTATGCTCTGTAGGTAGCTGGTGCCTGCTTATCACTGATCACAGACAAATTAAAAGGTATTCTTTATGAGGGAGCCAAGGGGGCTGGGTCAGATATCTTTAAGAATTGTTTTAACCAGTATATGATATTTATATATTGTCCTGCCATTTTGAAATGCTCCAAGTAGTTTTCCACTTGGGGAGGGCTGGCTAGGTTTTCCTTGCCATTGTTCTTCCTAGCAAACAGTATATTCTGTCACACACTCAGCATTTCTCAGTAGTCATACACTTAGCATTTCTCAACACATGTCCTTACATTTCAAAACACAATCATGCCCTTCCAATCATGCCCCAAAGTCTTAACTCATTAATTCAAGAGTCTGCAATCCAAAGTCTCATCTGAGACAAGAAAAGCTTTCAAAACTAATCATGTTGAGACTAGGCATGGTGGCTCATGCTTATAATCCCAGAACTTTGAGAGGCCGAGGTGGGCAGATCACCTAAGGTTAGAAGCTTGAGACCAGCCTGGCCAATATGATAAAACCCCATCTCTACTAAAAATACAAAAATTAGCTGGATGCAATGGCACACACCTGTAGTCCCAGCTACTCAGGAGGCTGAGGCAGAAGAATTGCTTGAACCCAGGAGGTGGAGGTCACAGTAAGCTGAGACTGCATCACTGCACTCCAGCCTGGGCAACAGACTCAAACAAAAAAACAAAACAAAACAAAAACCTAATCATGCCTTCCGCAAATCCTCCCAAAGTCTTAACTGATTCCAGATTTAACTCAAAAGTCCACAGTCCAAAGTCTCATCTAAAACAAGGCAAGTCCCTTTTGCCTATTCACCTGTAAAATCAAAAGCAAGTTAGTTACTTCTTAGATACAATGGGGATAGAGGCACTGGGTGAATATACCCATTCTAAAAGAGAGAAGTTGGCCAAAATGAAGGGACCACAGATCCATACAGGTCTGAAATCCAATAGGGCTGTCATTAAACCTTGAAGTTCCAAAATGATATCCTTTGACTCCATGTCTTGCATCCAGGTAATGCTGATGCAATAGGTGGGTTCCCATGGCCTTGGACAGCTCCTCCCCTGTGGCTTTGCAGGGGCAGCCCCTCTCCCAGTTGCTTTCATGGACTGGCATTGAGTGTCTGTGGTTTTTCCAGTTCACAGTGCAAGCTGTCAGTGGATCTATCATTCTGGAGTCTGGAGGATGGTGGCCCTCTTCTCAGATCTCTACTAGGCAGTGCCTCATTGTGAGGGCTTCAACACCACATTTACTCTGCACTGCCCTAGCAGAGGTTTTCCATGACTGCTTTGCCCCTGCAGCAAACTTCTGCCTGGTCATCCAAGCATTTCTACACATCCTCTGAAATCTAGGTGGAGGTTCCCAAACCTGAATTCTTGACTTCTGTGGGCCCATAGGCTCAACACCACATGGGACCTGCCAAGGTTTGGGGCTTGCATCCTCTGAAGCCACAACCAGAGCTGTATCTTGGGCCCTATTAGCCATGGGTGGAGCACCTAGGACACAAGGCACCAAGTCCCTAGGCTGCACATGGCAGGAGGACCCTGGGACCATTTTTAGCTCCTATGCCTCCTTGCCTATGATGGGAGGGGCTGCTGTGAAGGTCTCTGATATGCCCTGAAGACATTTTCCCCATTGTCTTGGTGATTAACATCCGGCTCCTCGTTATATATAGAAATTTCTGCAGCAGACTTGAATTTCTCTTTAGAGTTTTTCTCTTTTACTGCATCATTAAGCTGCAAATTTTCCAAATCTTTATGCTCTGCTTCTTCTTCAATGCTTTGCTGCTTAGAAATTTCTTCTGCCAGACACCTTAAATCATCTCTCTTAAGGTCAAATTTCCCTAGAACTTTAGGGAAGGGGCAAAATGTTATTAGTCTCTTTGCTAAAGAATCGCAAGAATCACCATTATTCCAGTTCCCAAAAAGTTCCTCATCTCTATCTGAGACTACCTCAGCCTGGACTTGATTGCCCACATCACGAATATCATTTTGGTGAAAGCCAATTAACAAGTCTCTAGGAAGTTCCAAACTTTCTCACATTTTCCTGTCAGAGTCCTGGTCAGTTCCCAGGTTGACTGAAGGCTTTGATGTCAGCACTTATGTGATGCAAAGAGTTTTAAAAAGCAAGTTTGTGCCCACATTGGAGGTGAAACTGAAGCAGGATCAAAAAGTCCTTAAGAATACTGGGCTTGCCTACTTGCTCCAGCAGCTCCCAGGCTCTGTACATACCTAAAAGCCATTCCCTGAGGGCCACTCTGTATCAGGCTCATTGCTTATGTCAGGTCATGATGCCTCATCCAAAGACCCAAATCACACCACAGCTTTGAAAGTGATAAAGTCAAACACTCACAGGACAAATGTACCAAGGAGACAAAAGGGAAGGAATAAGGAAACCAGAAACTGGAGAAGGAGAGTTCTATGTCTCTTGCTGCAGCCCTAGGTCATCAGAGAGAGCTGCAGAAGTACTCCAGTGATTCTGAGAGCACCAGAAGAACTGACAATGGTAGATTTCCAAATTATCAGAAGCTGGAAGAGTTGAGGGCAGGGGAGCCAGGTTACTTCAGCAGCAAAGTAGTGCAGAGGGTGCAAGAGTTCTTTGACAGCAACAGGAACTTCCTATACAGAATTTGAACCAAGACTTGACTTGTGGAGATGCCTCGTGAAACACAGTTGACCAAGTATTAACATATATGGAGCAACCTTGATTTCCGTGTGTGGACAGGCCAGCTTGGATTAGGAAGAAGTGACGAGCCTGGACTGTGGGAGGAAAAACTTGTTTTGGTAGATTAAAATTTCCTGTAGCAGGGCTCCCAGAATGAACTCTGTAGAGCTTCAGTTACTTACCCTTCTTGCTTAGGCTCTATGTATGTTGAAAACCAGCCTGTGTCGCATGTGTTGTTATAATTTTTTGTGGTACTTTCAATATGTGTTTGCAAGTGGGAAAGTGGGAAAAAAGAGGGGATGTCAACACCCCACTTTAAACAATGGACAGATCATCCACACAGAAAATCAGCACAGAAACACTGGATTTTGACTGCTCATCAATGAAAAATATCCCATGTTCATGGATTGGAAGAATTAATATTTTTTAAATGTCATACTACTCAAAGCAATCTATAGGTTCCATGCAATCCCTATCAAAATACCAATGACATTCTACACAGAAATGAGAAACAATTCTAAAATTCATATGGAATCACAAAAGACCCCAAATAGCCAAAGGCATCTTGAGTAAAAAAACAAAGCTGGAGGCATCATACTCCCTGACTTCGAAATATACTACAAAGCGAGCTGCATAGTACAGATGGGATCACCCACCACTTTTAAGGAAGAGGCTCATATACAATGACTGGAAAAGAAACAGAGAGCTACAGTCATGAAGGGGCCACATGGAAAGGGACAGCAGACATCTCACTGGTAACTCATATATAGAGGTGGGAATACACTCTTCAATATCTTGACACAGGCTAGGGAGTGTTCTTTTGTCCACACCTAAGAACCTTGACTGGGGGACTTCAGCCAAGACAGCTGAATAGGAACAACTCCAGAGAGCAGTTCCCAGTGACAGAGACCCAGAAGGCAAGTGATCTCCACATTCCCAAACGAGGTACCAGGTTCATTTCAATGGGACTGGTTGGACAGTGGGAATAGCCCAGAAAGGGTGAACTGAAGCAGGGTGGGAGAAGCCCAAAGAGGGCTAACAGAAGCAGGGTGGGGCACTGCCCCACCTGGGAAGTGCAACTGGCCCAGAGGATTGGAGACCTTACCCCTGCAGCACTCCGGACCAGATATTGTGCTTCCCCCATAGCCTCTGCAACAGAGGTATACAAGGCTGGTTCAACATATGAAAATCTATAAATGTAATCCATTATATAAACAGAAACAAAGACAAAAACCACGTGATTATCTCAATAGATGCAAAGAAGGCCTTGAACAAAATTCAACAGCTCTTTATGCTAAACACCCTCAATATATTAGGTACTGATGGAACATATCTCAAAATAATAAAAGCTATTTATGACAGACCAACAGCCAATATTATATTGAATGGGCAAAAACTGGAAGCATTTCCTTTTAAAACTGGCATTAGATAAGGATGCCCTTTCTCACCACTCCTATTCAATATAGTATTCCAAGTTCTAGCC